TCAAAGAGAGAGATTGGTGATGATTATTACTTACTAGAAAATAACATGTTTGCCTTTTCTTTCTTTTTCTTTTTTAAATTGTTGTTGTTACAAAAAATAAAATGAAACAAAAGTAAAAGTAAAATATTGATGTACACAAGTTGGTTTTGAACCCACGCCCTAAAGAGAAATTAAAGCCCTGCAAACCAACACAACCAGAAATATTTTTTTGGGGCTAAAAAATTGGGGCCCTGTGCGATGGCACCACTTGCATACCCTCAGAGCCACCTCTAAGTTTAATGGTATTTTTCTTTCCGGTGTTAAAAGCGATTTCAAGTTTGAATTCCCTCTGTCCTTATTTTTTTAAGGAAAAAATAAAGGGAGATACTTAGGTTCATCTTTTCTTAATCATCCCATAATTCCTGCTAATTAAGTATCATGTTTTTCTCGATCGTGCCAATGTTTATATACTAAAAATGTATTTGAATAATACAAGTGTGCATAAAACAGTGTGCATGGAATGGAGAACCCCTCATGATATGTATTGAAGAAATTCATGATGTTCTAATATAACAAATACTAGTATAGAAGAATATAGTGTAGTAGTGCGTAGCAAAGTGGATAAGTTCACCACCAAATAAATAGTTCCCCGGGTGTTACCTCCACATCAGAATCAGACAGATCATACTCTGCATGCTAATCCCTCCCATTATATATACATATTCCCCAGTCAGCTTCTGCTCAGCTTTGACCCGTCTTGGTTGAAACCTACCCACTTAATGTATAACGATGACATACCATTAACTCAATTTGGCCAAATGTCCTTCCTTCCTACCATCTATCAACCCAACACACGACTTGCATGCATTTCCTCCATTCCACGTCTACTTGCATGTATTTCCATGTGTTCCAACTCCCAAGCTTCCCGATATCAACAATGCTCCAAAAACCAAAATTAAACTGACCTAACGTATATATCATGGTTTTTGTGACACGAAGCTTTGCTAATTACGAGAGAAATGTTAACGGCACTTGCTTAAAAAACGAATAGTTTTATGACCTTTTTTTTAAAGAGGGGTGATAATATATTAAATTTATACGTATACATTATACGGATAGAGCTGGTCTTGAGATTTTGAGGGCCCTATGCTAACCTTAAACTAGGGCCTCACATAAGCTAATACAAACTTATACCATTACATAATGCCATACAATAAATGTTTTTTTTTTCCTTAAAGTGACCAAAGTACCCCTACTCCCAATGGCAAAATTGAAATTTCACAAAAGAATTAAATTTGGTTAAATCGATTAAATTGTATCAGGAATGTTACACCTTTTGAATAATCATCATAATTGTGACGATGAGTCTTTATCATAATATATCATATTCAGATATTAAATATTTTTAACACCCAATTTATTTTGTATCAATATTCCAAGAACATCATTAATTGGATGCGACTTTTTTGGTTGAGTTAGTTGGATGCATTATTTTTGTAAAATTAAATATCTTTTTAACACCTAATTTATTTTGTATCAATATTCCAAGAATATCATTAATTGGATGCAACTTCTTTGGTTGAGTTAGGTTTTTTTTTATTATGATAAGCGATAGAATATTATTGATGTAGAAAAGGTAATACAAGAAATTTGAACTCATATCAAGGGCAAAGGAAAAGTCATTGGTCACGAATTGCAATCTTTGTACAGTACATCAGAAATAAAATCAGAAGGTTCCTCGAACCAATATAGAGAACCCCCGATATGCAAGGCAAATTGCGCTAAACGATGAGCCACACCATTAGCAGTATGACAAATATGGGTAAAACCTTCCCCAGTGATCTGTGTCAACAAGCTCTTGGTATCCTCCACCACAAGTCCTATGACGGACCTATCTATGGAGTGACTTCGAAGTGCTGTAACGATCTAGAGAGCATCACTTTCAAAGATAACATTTTGATAACCCCTGTGGTTGAGTTTGTTGGATGCATTATTTTTGCAAAATTAAATATCTGAGCATATATAAAAACAATCATGTACCACTTTACTAACTACTTTTTTTAATTCAGGTGAGCCCTATATATGGAAGTCTTATCTTTATGGGCACTTGAAAAAAAAAAAATCTACATGAGCAATTGAAGAGCTAGCGTCAAGTCAATGATGGGGACGTACGCACGTGACAAGCAATGTTTGCACATAGGAATATAGATATTATTGGGGCAATTAGTACTTGCTGAAGAATAAATATATATATATATATAGTGACATGCATGCAGTTGAGAGATTCAGTGTCATCATTTGAGGAATGAGGTGCTTAGTCGTTGGATCTATTTCAATGAAATCATGTGGTTGAGATTGATTTAAGTGTTTAAACTTGTTTGTGTCTAATGACTTGCCAAAAACCCACATGTACGTACGCTTTATTGTGTAGCAGGGCTGCTGTAACTCGTCCACGTGTTATAATATGGATGGGCGATATGGTTAATATTTTCCACTTTTATTATATAATATCAATAAATATCCACTTATATATATTCTAACAGACGAGTTATACCATGTGACATACTCTCATACTACGTACACTATAATTACTAGCACTTAAAGCATTCACAATGGGGTCCCTAAACCACCTTCTTAGACAAATGTTAGGGAGGCATTGGAAAAATACAAGTCCAACCATGCTCCCTATTCACCTCCTAAAATAGAGAGATCTCTAGGAACTCCTAAATTTGAGGAGAGAGAAAGAATTCCTAATAGCTCCTTATAATTTAATGATGTTTCGTTTTATGCATAGTTTAAACTTTTAATTAATACAAGCTTTTTTTTTTTTTTTTTCTATAGAGATGATAACCAATCATGTTGAATTAAAAAATAACTATAGTGTTTATGACTTCCTAACTTAGGGAGTATGATTGGAGTTCAAATTTTATAGAATTCCTAAAATAACTTTTGTGTGTTTTTAGCTAAATTTTAACTAAATAATAGGGAGCATGACCTTTGCCTACATAATTACTGACTAATTCCTTGTGATCGGGTATTTATTATTTCAGTATGTGGTTCTGAAAGTTGCTGGGATATTGAATGTTGGTGTTGACATTGGACAAGCTGCTTTAAACAGTGGTTGCAACATTATGTGATTGACAGACAGCAGAGCAGTTTTTATCTTTCAACAAAAACAATAAGTTTAAAAAAAAAATCAAAATTTTAATTTGATCCTAATTGTCATTATCAGGGGTGGCCCTGAGGGTGTTCAAGTGGTGCCACCGCATAGGGCCTCGATTTTTTTTTGTGTATATATAATATATGTTTAACACATTTATATATATATATATATATCAAGTGAGCAAATTGTTGACACAAAGACGTTCCTAGTTGTGTTGGTTTGCAGGACCTCAACTTTTATTCAGGGCGCAACTTCAAAACCTGCTTGTGTTAAAGACTTGTCTGATGTCAACACCAACATTCAACATCCCAGCTACTTTCACAACCACAAACTGAAATAATAAATACCCTAAACCCTATGCTCAGATATTCAATTTTGCAAAAAATAATGCATCCAACTAACTCAACCAAAATAATTGCATCGAATTAATGATGTTCCTAGAATATTGATACAAAATAGATTAGGTGTTAAAAAATATTTAATATCTGAATATGATCTATGATGACAAAGACTCATCGTCACAATCATGGTGATTATTCAAAAGGTGTAACATCCCTGACCTAATTTAACCAATTTAATCCAATTTAATTCTTTTGTGAAATTTCAATTTTGTCCTTGGGAGTAGGGGTACTTTGGTCACTTTAAGAAAAAAAAACATTTATTGTATGGCATTACGTAATGGTGTAAGTTTGTGTTAACTTATGTGAGGCCTCAATTTAAGGTTCGCATAGGGCCTTCAAAATCTCAAGACCGGCCCTGGTCATTATGGTGGTTTTGTTGCTAGCTAGGTCACATTTGCATATGACTCTATTCTTTAAATAAATTTTACTGGCCCTGTACGTAATAATTTTTATTCTACTTTTTGCAATTTGATCTTTTTTATTTTATTTTTGTCATTCGATAGGGGGGGAAATGGGGGAGTATTATATTGGGTTGCCTCAAGATTGTCTTTTACATTAATCGAACTCGGGTGCACAATACTCGGAATTGAACCCGTGACTTTTCATGGGAAAGCAATTACTCCTAACCACTACATGTACTAGTGGGTTTTTTGGACGGCATTTGTTTATATAGATTTACTGTGTCACTTTATGATTTTGACTCAAGAATTAATATTAAGTTTAGTTAAGTTTTGGCTGGAGAATGGTAATCCCATGTCTTGTGGATTGGATTTGTTCTGACCCTAGTTGCTTAATTGAATAAATTCTCCTCTTGATAAACAAAAAGGAAGTATTCCAAAATGAGTTTGGCTGCTGAATTATGTACAATTTAAAACTGAACTATACTTCTTAATGAAATGTCGGTTAAGTACATCAAGTGAAGGAGCCATCTTCTATTATGTTCAATTGTGTACTCGAAACATCACATATACAATGTATGTGATGAAAATTACTGCACAAAGAGAGAAAAAAGTAGGCCGTCAAATACAGAAAATAAATGTGTAATTAAATGACTATATTATGCAAAATAGCTTCATTTAATCTTAATTTACACCTTGACCAAAAAAATATCTTAACTCACACCCTCTTGCTAATTCAGATATATATATTTTTTAATAGAAGCGTTAGTCTAAATTATCTTCGACCTCGTTGGCAATACAGATAACTATTAAATGGTTTATTTTTAGATTTGGAAGGAATATTCGAATTGTTAATTATGATAGTAGGTATATTAATCGTGTGTGTCTTTTTTAGCACTAATAATAATATTTATTTTGTTACATATCTAATTCAACAAACCGACTTTGAAAGTGTGAGATGTATGCGGCGCCTGGACTACGTACACCTCTCTTCCTCACCTGCTTGCTTCGACCGATCTCCTTTAAATAGCGCACATCATCTCTGTCTTTCTTATCCTTTTCCTCTAATTTTAGGAAATCAAACTCCTCCTACTTCTTAATCTCTACTTAATTCTTCTTCTTCTCTCCAATTCCAAAAAATAATAATAATAATAATAATAAACCCAACCCAACAAACATGGCTTCTGATCTCTCCGTCATCCTCCCTCGCGTTCTCATCGTCTCTAGACGTACCCTTCGCAAGAACAAGTTCGTAGATTTTGTGGGTACGCTTCCGATTCCCATAACAACAACAATTCATCTTCTTTTTCTGTTTTTATTTTATTTTTTTTCCTAATAATTTGCACTAATTAATGTATGCATAATATATGTGATTTTAGGTGAATACCATCTTGATCTCATAGTAGGCTATGGAGCAGTGCCAGTGATTGTGCCCCGTGTCAATGGGGTCCACATGTTACTGGACAGCTTCGAGCCCATCCATGGAGTTCTGCTCTGTGAAGGAGAAGACATCGACCCATCGCTGTATGAAACAGAGGTGGATGTTTCAGGCCTTTCACCAGAAGAATTGGAAGAAATCAGGAGGCTTCATGCAAGTGACACAGCCATTGACAAAGAAAAAGACTCCATTGAAATGAGGCTGGCCAAGCTTTGCCTTGAAAGGAACATACCCTACTTGGGCATTTGCAGAGGCTCACAAGTCTTGAATGTGGCATGCGGAGGTACCCTTTACCAGGACATAGAGAAAGAGCTCTCGAAAAAACACAATGAAAATTATGAGTTAAAGCCTCAAAATGGGGTTCAAGTTCGACATATTAATTATGATGATTATGATGGGCACAGGCATGTAGTGCAGGTGGTGGAGGAGACCCCTTTGCATCAATGGTTTAAGGAGTCTATGGAGAAAGAGGGGAAGATGGAGATTCGGGTTAATAGTTATCACCATCAGGGTGTTAAGAAATTGGCTCAGAGGTTTGTGCCAATGGCATTTGCACCAGATGGTTTGATTGAAGGGTTTTATGATCCAGATGCTTATAATCCTGAGGAAGGTAAGTTTATAATGGGGCTACAATTTCATCCAGAAAGAATGAGGAGGCCAGATTCAGATGAATTTGATTACCCTGGTTGCCCATCTGCTTATCAGGTCTCTTACCTACTTTTTGCTTTTATTATTTTTATCTGTTGATTGATATGGGATTCTAGAGGTTGATTATTGATTTTATTTTTTCTGGGTTTTTGTAGGAATTTGTGAAGGCAGCAATTGCTTACAAGAACAAGGTTAATAGCTCAACTTCAGTGCCACAACCTTTGAAGCTTGATGGTGAAATGGAGATGAAGAGAAAGAAAATTGTCAGAAGTTTCTCAATTGCAAGAATCATATACAGTGGAGGCCTAGGAAGTGGTTTGCAACCAATCAAGGAATCTGAACTTGAAGCTGGAGCAGAATTCCTTGAGGTTTCTGATAGATTACCAACTGTTTGATATTTTGTTCCAAAGTTTTGCTATTTTTCTTTGGGTCATTTTAATTTGATGGTAATATGTGTTTTTGTCTTATTTATCTGCAGTCAAACACAGTATTGAGCTTACAGCAGGAGAATAGGCTAAAGCAAATGGGTGCCACAGTGAGAAATGCAGGGTCCTACATAGAGAGATTGAAATTGAATGAGGAGAGAGAAAGGTTGGCAAGGAATGTGATGGGGAAAATGTCAGTTGAGCAATTGTCTGATCTGTCGGCTTTCTACCATATGATGGGGCAAATCTGTTCTGAAGTCTTGGAAAGAAAGCTTCAATGGGATTGTCAATGATATTGGTTCTTGACCATTTCATCCCCTGTTTTTTAGCTGAATATATTTCATGCTTTGAGGTCAAAAGGGTAGCTAGCTGCTGCTTTGTGCTGAACTCACATGAATCTTGGATGATGGGCTCATGTCTATATCTCCTTTTTACTTGTCTCTCTTGTTTCCTGTTACTTACCCTGAAAAGTTCACTATTTTTTTTCCCTGTTGAATATGAAATAAAGTGTGTAAATTTATGCGTGCATAAGACCTTTACAACCAGTTTTGGAACTTATTAGATATGTAAGTTTCACATGTGTGTTATGTCAACAATTTAACAGATTTTCGAAAGGAAGCTGGATGGAAGTCGACAACTGAGATTAGTTATGAACACAATTGTTAACCATGAGGATCATTAGTGACAAAAAAAACAAAAAACAAAACAAAACAAAACAAAAACAAAATGAACTCAAAACTTGATAATTTTGTTCACCTCAAGGATGTTTTGTGATAAAAACACAAAGCATTATTTTACAATCAATGTGGTCCTTACTGTTCTTTACTTTCTGATATATACCTTACTGCTCTTTACTTTTGTATACATACCTTTCTACTTCAGAAATCATGTGCTATAATATATCTCTTGGTTATTTCATTTGATAATACCTTCCTACAATTTTTTAGTACTAGTTGTACATAATTTCATTTAACATAGATTTGTTTGGGACTGTTGTCATCATCAGAACAACCCTGTTTAAGGGTTGAAATTTTTCCCAAACAACAAAAAAAAGTGGAAGCCTGTATTTTGTGAGTTGGGCTCCAAGCCTTGTGGCGGCAGACGGGGGACTCTAATGGGCTAGGCCTTCCTTCAAGCTCGACCCATTTAAATCAAAACCGAACATTTTGATCGAACTGCACAGCCGCCACTCACCACCACCATTCACAAACCCGGATTATTGCGATTAACATCCCTGAATAGCCAAGAGAACTAGTGATTCATTTGGTTTAAGAATTCCCCAGAAAATAAAACTATTTCATCAAGGCCAACAACAATTAATCAAAGTCGGAGAAGACATGAAACTGTAGAGTTAACTAACCAGGCAGGACCAAATAAGTATATTTAGGTATATTATTATTAAGTTTTTGAGGATGCTTTTGATTGTTGTTGGATATAAATGATATTCATTTTTGAAACTGATCAGAATGTGTAAAAGAAAACAACATGAAGAAGAAGAAGAAGAAGAAGAAGAAATATATATCAAAGCATTGTCCTCGCAATTGCTGCACCCACAGCCGCAACATCATGAGCAGCTTTGTTCTTATCTGTCAGAGGAGAGCTCCCTTCAGAAAATTGGCTTTCACATAAGTCAATCACGATGCCAGCGTCACTCATGCCTTGGTCAGCAAGCTTAGCGTTACCTGAAGCAAAGGCTTCATTAGCTAGGGAAACATCACCTTCTATAACTGTCTTGTAATAGTCAACGCAGATGGTCAACGATCGGTCTCCTGGGCTCTGCTTAAGTAGCTCATTGATTTTGTTCAGGCTGTCCGTTGCCTTAGCCTTAACAACATCTGCCATTACGACGCCTAAGCCGCCCACATCTGCGGTGTAGCTTCGGGGATCTGAGTTCAGAGAGATGACACAAAGATCGTAGTATGGTGTTTTTTTGCAGGTTAGGTCGATGAGATTGGCACCCATTGGAAAATAAGAAACCTTGCAATGGTTTATAGGAAGAAATACAATTAGACAGAAAGCAATTTCTAGGAGAGATAGCATGAGTTTTGGAGATATTGAATTCTTCATGTTGGCAAGAAAAATTAGGGTTTTAGGGAGTTGGTTTCGATGTCAAATTATGGTGTGAGTTCCTTTATATAGGCTTTGGATGCTGAGACAATAAATGTTGGAAAGAACAACGTACCATGTGTCACACATAATGTGTATATAAACAGCAAGTGGTAATTTTTCATTTTATGGTATATTGTCATTTTTGGATACAATATTGATTTTTTTTATTTATCAAAGTATACCTATTGAATTTTGATTTTAGTCTTTTGACTATTTTTTATATTAGTAAGTATATTATTCACTATCAAAAAAAAAATCCGAATCATCTGCTTGGATTTTCTCTACTAGAACCTACTAAACTTTCATCTCCACACATCACATATTTAAATTTCAATACAAAGGATTTAATGTTGACACATTGCGTTTAAACAAAACACAATTTTTCCATAATTAAAAAAGAAAATGATTTCCTAATTCAAACTTGACGTGTTTTCCTCTTAATTTTCCTTCCTTTCTCTGCAAGCTTCTTCCTTCTTCCCCAAGATTCTATTGGCTCTTCAATTAAAAAAATTTCGTTCTTTCTCACTGGAAATCAAGTGATGGTAGCCACAACGTTGTTTTGATTAATTTTGAGGATTAATTTTGTTTTTTGCTACAGATATCTTATTTATATTTTATTCTTTTGATCCCTTTTAGATGGACTTATTTGTGCATATGTAGGTTTCCATTGGATTCCATGTTTTGTCATTGTAGATTGTAGCTGTTTCTGGAGTTGATTTAACAGTAGATTTTTTTATAGGGTTGTTCCCTTGATTAGGGTTTGATGATGGGTTCTTTATAAATACAAACGTCTTTCAGCCAAATACAAAATTGATGCAGGGGTGCATGAAGAAACAATGGTTGTCCTACAATAAGAATTTTCACGCACAATAATATTTTTTTCATATTCCTCTAGCAAAATTTGCACGCATAATAATTTTTTAAACATTCTTGTTCGAATAGAAATTTAATCGAAGAATTTTTCAATCCAAACCATAGGTATGGTCATCTAAAAACTATGAAGAATAAGCAGCATTAATGCAGCTAATATGGAAAAGTGAAGGGTATGCCAAGTTTTTAGCCATTTGATGGTTTTTAAATGATGTGGCAGATGAAGAATAAAAGTGAAGGAGATTCTGACAGAGAAAATCAAACGTTAATATCTTAAAACTGTAGCAATTTAAAGACTTCCTCTTCCCTAATTTACTCTTATCTGACTAAGAAAAAGCAACCTACTTTAAATCATTAAGAAAACTTAATTGTCACTTATTTTTCAAATAGAACTGATAGAGAGTCAATATGAATTTAGATTTCTTAATTTTAAAAACTTATGGCATGTTTACTAATCCGTAATTGGATTAAGAGGAATTGAATTGAGAAGGAGTTGCATTAAGGAGAATTAGATTATGGATTCCTATTAAAATTGTTTACTAAACCATATGGAATTGGAGTATGAGTAGTTCTAGTTACTAAAATGTCCTCGTTGTTGGGTTAAATTTGATAGCAAATTTGGAATTTTTAAAATTGTGTGAGAATATAATAGGTAAAAAAGATGAATTTCTAGTGGGTTAGTTCTCCTAGAATTAGAATACCACCTCCCACCCAAAAATTGAATTCCTCTAAAATCAGAAATTCAATTCCTAATTTTGTGTGGGCCCCACTTACTTTTAATTCCTTAATGTGAAGTAAATACAAGAATCCTCCATAGATGGAATTAAATTTCTGATGATAATTTCAATTCCTGATTAGCAAATTAAGCTTCTCCTCTGTCAGATAGCCATGACCCAATAATCTGTAGCTTGAAGGCCCATCGGTCTGGAGTCGTTGATTACCGACCCAATAAGTGACTATTACATGTGTGTAACCATTTTGTATATTTTTCTTAACAATTTTACATTTGTCGGACTTGATTTCTACCTAACTAGACTACATGACTAAAATTGTCCAAATAAAAACAATCGGTCCAATTTTGTTCCTATCAACTTTACAATGGTTAAAACCATGAAATGGATCAATCCGCGATTCAATTTCGATTTTGAGTTGATACCGGCTTTTTTAGTCAACACAATTTCTTCCTTTTAATTTGGCCCAGTTCATCGTCAAATATCACCTTAGCTATTGCAAGGAGCTTATAACTCAAACAATTCAGAGTAGTTATACATGAACTCAAGGTCTAGTGTTCGAATCCCCCCAATACAGCTTATTTTTTATTTTTTATTTTTAAAACCATCTTAGCTATTATTTATGTTGCACGGATAAGGATACACTGATATAATACGATATGATTCGCCAATACGGCAAAACTCCAAAAACTAGGATACGAGTATGGCACTGATACAACAATTAAAATAATATATATTTAAAAATTAATATTGTATCCATCATGTTATTATCATCCACCTTAAGTTCTAAACATAAAACTAAGCCCAAAATACAAATTTCCATAGGATTGCTCAAATCATTAAAAAAAACACACAAAAACAAATTAAAACATTGTGAAGCCACTTCCTAAATCTTTAACTTCATAGGATTTAATAATTTTGAAAACGACCAAACATAGTTTCAAATATTTTCAAAATTACCCCTTAAAATATCAAAAATGTATCGGGACCATATCCTTAGAAGTATCAGAAACATATCGAAAGGTCAAACTTTTGGAGAAGTCCATGATACTCCTATATCCATATCAAAGATGTATTGTACTCGTATTAGCGTATCAAAATATCGGATACGAGCATATCAAAGGTGTATTGTACTCGTATGGCGCAACATAGGCTATTATACTTGAAATCATGTGAAAACAAAATACTAACAACCGTGCAACTTACATGCCATACATAGTATGAACACGTAACCAAGATTGTCTCTGATTCATAAACTAAAAACAAAAGGGGAACCAACCAACAACCACTTCCAAAGCATCTACCCAACTGTTCATTAATTTCATATGACTTGTAAAGTAATCATGTAAATTGTATGCACCCTTAATCTGTCAACTATCGGTGACGTCCATTCTCAAGTCCAAAGAACTAGTCAAAAGAGAGACAACTTTGGCCAATATGCGAAGCTCCCGGCAGAAAATGCAAACTATGGGTCACGTCCGATTCCTGTGTGTCAATTAACGTTTCACACTTCTTTTTCTACGGCACTTTAATTTCGATAACTTCCACCCTTTCATCATTTCTTTTTGTTAAAGATCCATTTGAATGAGTTACCAATCAAAGGAATGACCACACCAAGATATTGTCGGTTTTTCACAAGTGATATCCTATCCTAGTCAAGTTCGGAGAAAAAAATTCTGATATAAACCTTTTTCCTGGTTTGAAATTTGTATTATATGTTTAATTGTATATGTGTTTGGTTGCTCAAGCAGTTGCGATTAAGTGATCTTTTATTGTATCAAAATTGGATAAATAAGAGACTTGGTGAACAAAACAAAGGATTGCTATAGTGTTAA